TGAGGTCAATCACACACGGTCTTTTGTTTAGAAATAACTGATGTGTTAACCCCACACTTTAAAAGTATTAAAGATGAGAATTTGTGTTGCAATCTAATGTATGCTACTTTTAAGACAAACGTTTTCTAACTTACTACTTCCGTTGTATAAAGGCAGGATCACTGCATATCACAGTTGTTTGACGGAATCACACTGATGTTGTCACACTCTCCGATCTTAAGTTTCAAACTTCAACTCCACTCTTCTCCAAACAACCTGCCTGGTATAACAGGATCTGAAAGAAAAAGCGTCCTAGCCCATGTGGCTAGATTAGGTGGCCATGCTATTTAAATCAGACTCTTACATTAATGTAACGGCTAAGATTATGCCACAGTAGGAATGCTCACTATAAAGGAGTCTCTATGAGGACAAAGTAGTTGTAAATTGATTTATTATTACCAGTAATTTATAGTAAAAACAAAAACTAAACAACCGAACAAATAAATCAAAGTAATATTGATTGGAGATCATTAAAATAATCAAAAAAATCTACAAGTAAACAGATAAACTAATCTTTGAAACATTATACTAAGAAATTCTCTTTCTAATCATTAACAATAATATTCAAAAAATCATGACGTATTTCAAAAGACTCCTTACTTTCAAATAGTTAATTCATTAATCTCAAGAGTATATTATTAGTCAAACAGGTTCAAAACTGAATCATGTAATATTTAATGGAGAGTATTTTGTCTAAGAAAAAAACAAACAAATTTATTCTCATACCTCATATATATCTGCCTATTTATTAATCTCTAATTTTCTAATAAATACCATTTATAATACTTGGAAACAATATTAAACTGTTTACATTGAATTGCTCTTTTAATCAATAGTTCATATTACTTATATGTGAAAGTAATTTTTAATGAAATAATAATAATAATTTTGGTTAGAAATAAAATGTAGGTCTCAAATGGATTGAATGAATTACATTGTGAACTAAAAAAAAATTAATTCTTTGTCGCTCAACATTTTCTGTTTATAAAATATTTTAATCATATGATGAGAATCTAATCAGATGATTTTTTTTACTTTAAAAAGAAATAATAATAAACCGACATTTAAGACATTGATGACGTAGAACTATTGACAAAACTGAATATAGTCTAGTTACTTTTAATTTTTGTATTTAAGATATTGTAAACATTTTAAGTAGTATGTTCTAACCTGTAATTAAAGTTTGAGTATTTGATAATATAAATATTATCAATTTTTTTACGTAACTTAAACAATATAAGTGATTAATAGTTTCTCAGTCATTTTGTAGCACTACACTCAATGTTACCTAATGCTGAATGATTTGTCTGTAAAAACTGGAGCTCGGAGAAAAATATCATTATAATTAGATTCATTATATCAGTTGTAATTATTTATTATTATATCACAAAAGAATTGAAACTTATCTTTTACTTATAATACGACTTTTACAACAATTCCTAAAATATTTTTAACTGTATTCATTTCCTTTATTGTTTAGTGATAACTTTATTACTCACAAGTGAAAACGGCATAACAGATTAACAGTTCTAAAACAAGTGTATTTGTGAAAATATTCTCATGTTTTAGATTCATAAACGTTTTTCAGCAAAACGTCTTGAATATTGAAATATATGTGCCTATATCTGTAGTTAATAACATAAACTGAATACTGTTATTATTAATAACATGGTATGAATAATAATTACATAACAGACAACTTTAAAATATAGTTTCACAATGAGTACACTTGCTGATGAACCGAGATAAACGGTAAATAAACAAACAAATTAATTATTTCACTGCTGTCGTCAAATTTAATCTCACTTAATATTTACCATATTTCCTAGGATCATGTTTAACAACTAGAATGCGAAGCTTCTTGTAGATTATCAGGTATCAAGATAGGTTAAACCACAAACTACCTTTAGTCAGATAATCATCTAAAATAAATAAGCATTAGGTAGCCTTTTCATTACAGTATGAAGTTCCTCTGAAATCTACACATAAAAACTTCAAGTGCATCAAACCTAGGACGCGTAAGATTTGCAATAAATGTGTAACCTCGAAACCAAGAGGTTGCAATCATATCAGACGTGATAAAGATATTACTGATAGTAAAAGATTACTCAAACTGTGAATTAAATGATTTCATCATATGGCCTGAACGTCCTGTGTTTGACTTCCGGCTTGACCTCTGGAAGGTCGTCTAGCCTAAATTAGTCTATGGTAGATACTACCTTTATATTATTTACTCCTTGAATAAGAATAAGTATGTAAATGGATGACTAAAAAATTCGATTGCAAGTTTATTTAAAAAATATATTTGTCAGATGAGTGCAAATTCATAACAACAGGCAACAGTAAGATCCACAATGTTTTATCCAAACTATCAAAAGGATGATAATGAGAACGTCAATACATATATTTAATAATGTATTCTGTCATCGGATTAAATTAACTGAAACTAAACATGTCAACTACTGGATGCCGGCTCAGTGAACTAAAGGTTCCACGAGATCCAAAGGTTTTGAGTTTGCTCCTCTTCAAGGTTTTGGATTCGCACAGCTGTATCTCACACAATGACAAAACTGCTACCCAGTGCTTCCCGACTTCCAGTGGTCATATAACCTGGATCAGTTCGTGACATCAGTGACAAAAAGCAAATATAACTTAGTCAATAATGTTCTTTTTTCTAACTGATAACAAGCAGCTGATTAGAAGTGTGCATAACTTTAAAAACTGTTTGTTGAACTAAACAAGCATAGTGAGGCTGACTTAAGCAATTCTCTAGAACTATGAAAAGTACCTAAAGTATAAACTGTAGTTATTGTATGACAGTTGCTACATATTATATTATCTCATGTGTGTTTACTACTTTTGTTAATCATAAACGAGAGGTTAAAAACAGCAATTGATTTGTAAAGACAAAAATTAAACATAAGAATTCTACTTGGATGTGGACGCCCACATAATTGGATTTAGTATAATAACAACATAGCTATCTATTAGATATCTTAAATGTAAAAACACTTAATAAGTCTCCATACTTTCGTTAGAAATAAGATATAAAGAGTATTAAATGTCACTGAATCACGGTCTTTTGGGAACTGAGCCCAATTTTTAAATGGTTAAATACTCACTTGGAATCTTAAACGCAAAAGAAAAAGAAGCAGATCAAAAACACCTTGCGCAAGGAATAGGGGGTAGACATAGAAAAAATAAATAGCACTTGGAAACGACTAAGAAGAAAAACCCAGGACACAGTTGGCTGGAGAATCCTGGTCGGTGGCCTATGCTCCACTAAGGGAAACAGACGTAAGCAAGTAAATACTCACTAGTGATTGACTTTTCAATATACAAAGACTATCTAGTATGAACAGCACCCCGCTACTAATTTTGTCAAAACATTATAAGTCCATACCGAGGCAGTCCAGTAATCAAGGTAAATTTGTTGAATAAGTTACTGTATAACATGTTACTCCATGGCCGAAGATACTAGAAGAATCAAGGTAGATGAAGTTTAGTTCAAACCACATAGCCGGTGATTAAAAACCAAGTGCTTTAATTACTGAGCTACGACACCACAAGACACTGTAAACGATGAAAACAAGAAAATAGATTTTAAAAATAGCCAAAAGATAAGTTGACGAACCCTAAGTGCTTCAGGGGAATACCAACGAAATTGACGTCTCGAAACTATTAGCGACGTATCATCCCAAGCGAATATATAACTCCATCAAGATACATATAAACACTAAACAATTCACATCCTCATCTTGCTTCATTCCTTAATATTATAATTTTTTTACGCATCATACACGATCACATTTTTATGCTAAAACAGATGTTCGTCGCAGTCTAAACATTATCAAGTTACCTGTCCTAACAGAATCAAACTTATAGAAACATCTACGCCTTACAACATATAGACGGAACATATCAAAGATTCAAATAAAGTTCGTTAAATTGAACTTTAAACTAATGAATGAACTAGATTGATTTTAATTCACGTTACTAAGTATTTTCTGACAAACCGAATTCATTTATGGTAATCGAAACATTTTGGTGGCTCTTTATCTGACTCCAGTTAGACCGGACAAATGATCGTTGTCGAATGATTTCTGTCGAAATATGTATCCTGACTGTTCTCGTATATTATCATCGACTTAACTCGCGTTAGTGTATAACGGAATTAAATAAGTCAAATACGAGAATGAATTTCGAATACGTGTATTTCATGCAATTGTTGATCAGAACAAACAATCAGAGAGACAGAGCGAAGCGAAATGACACGCGGTGGAGAAGGCATGTAAGCCAACTCCCATTTTTTGTAGTGGCTTAGCTTCGTTAATCAATCAGCTTGATAACCATCATCGTATAAATCCCACGGTATTTGAAATAAGAAGGCAGTAAAAGCGGCGACTACTGTTTATGAGAGGATAGCACAGATCACAAGGCTACAAGCACATCGACAGAATTTGGAGCAGAGTAAAACTTATAGTCAAATCGAATAAGGGCACAGCAAGGCAAAGGCTATCAATAGGATTCGAGTACATATATACATGGGGAAGAGAATGATTCATCGAGTGATACTTAAGCTATCAACATTTAAGCTAGAGAGAGATGTGCGTAGGTTATCATATGATCAAGAGTACACGTTTGTACATATAAGATAGTGATCATAATAGTACAAAGAAATAGACGAATTGTTACTGTTTTAATAACATTGTCAGTCAAAAAGTTAATAAAAGAGCTTAACAAGAATTAATCATAGTCGAAATTGATTGTATGAGATTTTCTATATAGCATCTATCCTCAGACAGAACAAACAGCTTACTATAATACCATAGACTGACTGAAGTTAAAGACTTAAAAAGCTCTATATATATATATATATATATATATATATATATATATATATATATACATCAAAAATATCTATAAAGTTGCCTGAATAACATCAAAAGAAAACCGCTTACTTAAGATGTAACTGTTTTTCAATTTTTCTGTCGAATACACTTGTTAATTGTTTACCATCTAAACGAAGTCGACTAGCAGCTTCCAAACATCCACCAGGTAGGCAAACATATTCACGTAACCAGTATAGAACATGGTCAGTGTTCCAACAAAATGATGGTAATATGCAAACATCTGAAGCTATAGGATTTTTTGTCACCTGAGTGTGCTGAATTAATTTACTAGGCAACTGATTTGTAGATATTTTAATAGGATTTCGATCAGAATTATTTAAAGGTTTGGATGATAACGTATCTGTTTTTTGAAAAAAAAGAGAAGTGAAGACCCAATTCATTAACCATAATAGTTTTGAACATTTACTGATTATATATATAATAGTAATAAGTTATCATGTTGAACACAATTATATTTCCTCATTAAGATTATCACTTGAACTGATTCCATAGTTGAAACAAATTACAACAGAAATTGGGTACTACAGGTCGGTCCCAATAAACCTCAATGAATCTCAAATACTTGAAACCTAAATCATTTTTTATCCTAATTTCTGAAAAAGAGTAAAAACTCAAGACATATTTCGAGAATAAGAAATAGGAAACCCTCAATATAATAAGTGCTATGACAAAACTGTACGCTTCACACTAATGAAAGCATCTCATATCTATCCAAGATTCATTGTTAATGGAAAATATTTTGAGGTTGTTTTTTTTTGATAATATCATCAATGTTAATGCATGAAATTATATTCGATAATTCTATCAGCTGATTAAGATATTAATAAGAATGCTACGCTTTAACTAGCCACAGGAAAGTAATGATTATTATATGGTTATCTAATACTATCAGTCAGAGTTTCACTGTACTCAAATAAATAACCAAAGTCACGTCAGACGTTTTCTGTATACAGTATCGGATAATTGAAAGTAACTGATTATGAACCTTAAAATTTGTTCTTGATATGTTTTGCCTGTTGGCTAGTAATATCGCAAAACAGACTGATTGAATTTAGCTACCTCAGTGTACTAGATGAAGCATACAATAAGTTTTTTTCTAGTAACACATTTGTGTTCTTGGTGGCATTTGTTGAAGCTTAAATGATTTCATAATAAAACTATGACTCTGACTGACGAACAAACATAAAACGTAGTTTCAGAAATTACTGCCCAAATAAACATGCTTATTTCGTTATATTTACCAACAAGACGTTATCGAAACAGTAGAGAATGCTCCAGTACTGGAAAATTAGGTTATTCAGAATTTCAACTGATAGAACTAAATCATATCTTTCTCAAACTATCATCTGATACTTAGAAGTGATAATTAAGCCTAGTGGTAATACTGACTGGATAGTTAATATGCAGATAGGAAATATAAGACGTAATATTGAGTGATTATGAGAAAGTTAGGCAGATTGTTTATGAATGCCAAAATGAGCAAAACAATTTACGCCGATAACATTTCACTTATAGAATGTCAATATTTGATGTCAGAAACAATTTTGATTAAAATCAATGTCATTTACATATGCATCACACGACTAGATAAATTATGTATTAATAGTATGATATAAATATTTACTGAAAATATCCATGTAACCAAACATTATAAAATACAGGAACTCTCCAAAACATTTGAACAGTAGCATCTTATAAAGTATCAGTTAAACAAAAAAATCATCTGTAGTCTTGTGAACATTAAATAATGATTCCACCAATATTGAATAAAACAAGTATACCAATTTCTGAAGTCCGTATATTCGTTGTAAATAAATCCGGGAAGAATGATATAAATGAAAGTATTACTTCCTATTAAAGGTAAAGTTGAACTTTGGAAAAAAATTGTTCTATACGTTACATAATTACTACCTTATACCGTGTTATCAAGAGATTTTTTAAATTCAGCAAAATGAATCATTGGTTCTCAGTTTTCCTAACAAAAACAATAACAGATTTATAAAACTCATTTTATATTGTTTATTTGAATCGTCCCATTGATGGTTAAGACTACAACTGATAATAAAAAAATAAATTTAAACCTCACCCCATTGCCCAAGCTAGGGGCTATCAAGAATCAGTAGCTAAGTGGATAACACGATGGCATTTGAAGCGAACGAGACTGGGTTTGAGTCGAGGAGTGAACACTAACTCTGGGATGCATGCACATGCGGCTGTCGAGTCCGAAATACAACGAGACACGCTTCCTAGATTCCACTGCCAGCCACTATCCATCTTTACTTATAAAATTTATAAAATGTTTGTGATCACCACGAGAGGTGAATATCCTGGATTCGGTTAATAGTTGCGTCCTGAGTAAATGACGAATATCTTCAGATTTATGTAACGTTAAGCGTGTAGTTCGATGAATATAGACAAAGTTACTCATGTGATTTTAAAGAAATTAATATAACCAAAAGTAAAGTGATATCGGGTTGGCTCTCCCTTGATTTTTCATTTACCATCCCATTAGTCCCACTGTCTAGACTAAAAGTTTGTAAATCTACGAAATATTTAATACGTAACTAAATAAATATGATTATAACTATAAAACAGTCAGAGTAGAAGTATTTTATAGCCTATTTTTGAAAGCAATGACTATTAATAAAGCAAAATAACTGATATGGAATAGACAAGGGCTATGGCATAATTTAAGTACACTAACGCATTAAGTTATAAAATTGTCTAAGTACTTAAAAAACTAAACGTAAAGAAAACATAAAAATGAACTTAGCGTATTCAACTAACTTAAAATACTTAACAATCATGTTCAGTGTCTCAGTTTTATTTGCAGTGGAAACCTACGTGGTTTTCGATACAAACAGAAGGCCAAGGAGGAAGTATTATCCACCAATTGTATGTGGAAATAGTTCACGTTTAAATAATAATGATAAATGTTTTTTCTTCATTTTCGACACTATAACTCAAAAAAGTGGCTTATATTTGGAAATAATCTATAATTTTCACCCACTTGAAATGAATAGACAATTATAATTGATAAAAAATACCAAAATAGTGAAATAATTCGTACTGCATTTTTTAACGTCTCCTACATGTAAACTGATTAATTATCGTTTAAAATGTACCAATTTATAAAAACGTAGATGTGGAAGATTGTCTCAATTATGAAGTATGTATCAGCATACTACTTATTAACTTAATTATTCGTTTGATGGTATATATATATAGATAATTATTCACATTGTGTAATTTGAATCTGTGACAATTTTCCTATTAAGCTGATAGCTTATTTAATTTCCATTTCAATACATAGGAGTATTAAATAATGTTGATAAATATTCCTTATAAAATGAAAAACAAAACAGATTACCAAGAGATAAAAATGAATGCTCTTTGACAATAAAATAAAAAAACTATGAGGGACTTTTTAAAAAAACCTATCTGAATAACTTCTATTCTCTATATTTACTCAAAATACCTTTTTCATAAAATATATTACAATTCATTTTTAATTATCAATAAGAGCTATATGAGAAATGACTGCTGTAGAGAAATAGTGCGTGTTCTAAATGCGGCTCACCAACATTTTAGAGACTAATATCCTCTATATCTGACTCCCGATCGAAGCTGCTACCTTGACGCGGTGGTCGGGATTGCCTATCGTGATGACCCAACCGAGCTATATTGGCTGGAACATATGTTCCTGTAGGTTCTACCATGCCAGGCAGGTCGATTGGTGAACGGTAAGACTAAAAGCAGCAAATCAAGGTCTGAGGGCGAAGTCGTACTGCTGACTGTAGAGGGGTGTGACAGCAGTAAGGTGTTTCCTTCGGACAACCAGCATTGCAGCGATGCTGCCTTCCCACAAGGAGGGGTGGGGTTAGAAAAGGTCGACCCTAAAAATGTCACACCTCACCTTATCTCACGGATTTCCGTCTCCGGCGGCAAGGCCCTTTGAAGAACGGAGCTAACACGTCAAAAACCTTCCACAAAAAGGCCGTGCGCGACCGGCCACAAGCAGTTGTCCCTTGGGCTCTGCGGTCACGCTCCCAGGTCGTCAAGACCAACACTAATCCAATTTCCTTTTCAGGTTCCTCAAGAAATACCCTTCCACGGTGTGGGCAGCCGGGAAGTGACATCAGCCCTCATACCCGTAACAGCACAAGAGACCAAGGTGGTCAGATTCAAATCCTTCCTACACCTCCTAATACCTCTCTTATCTCCATGACTAACCCTCCTCACGTCTCTTTATCACCTCGCACCGCTAGGGCAAACGATTTGAGTACGTGGAACGCCATTCCTGGTCTCCTGAAACCACGCTCTAAACTACACGTAGGAGCTTTTAACGTACGAACACTTTACCAAATAGGACAGCAGGCTTCCTTAGCTAAAACTTTAGAATCTCGCGCCATCGATGTGTGCTGCGTCTCCGAAACGCGCATACAGGATCCAAGTAGCGTCATTCATTTGACCTCACCATGCCAAAATAAAGAACCGACTCGATAGGGACACTCGTCGTTGCCTCTTCGTCGTCTCTGCCTATTCTCCCACTGACTGCAGCTCAGATGATGTAAAAGATGAGTTTTACAGAAAGCTTTCGGACCTTCTCCGAAAAGCTAAGCGCTCGGATGTAGTAATAGTGGCCGGTGACTTTAATGCTCAAGTAGGTAAACTAAGCGATAGGGAAAAGATCTTATGGTGTCGTGGCTCAAAGAACAGATAATGGCGACCGTCTGTTGCAGCTATGCTCAGATAACCGCCTGTTCCTTGCAAATACTAACTTTAAGCATAAGGAAAAACATCTTTTAACATGGCGACCCCCTAATTCGTCCCAACGTTGGACCCAAATAGATCACATCGCTATCAGCCACCGATGGAGGGGCTCGATAGAAGACTGTCGCTCATTCTGGAGCACATGCCTAGATTCAGATCATGCTCTAGTGCGAGCGCGTATTTGCTTGCGTCTTACTGGACGTAGGAAAGACGCTGCAAGGAAACCTCTTAGGGCCTACTTAATGATAGTCAAGCTAAGAGTATATTTCAGGAACAACTAGGAAAACAGTTAGGCAGCCATGTATGTGATGCCCACCCCGATGCAGCATGGAATGATATCCGAAAAGCTGTGGAAACAGCAGTGATATCTGCTAGTAAGGTAAACCAGAAGGTTAGGGAGCAACACTGGATCTCAGCAGCATCTATCGCACTGATAGATGCTCGGAAACTCATTCCACCTGGCTCTGAACATAATGAAGAGCGGAGTCAGCTTAAGCGCAAGCTGACAAGAAGTCTACGCAATGATCGCGAACAGTGGTGGGTAGCGAAAGCAAGAGAGATGGAAAA